CAAGCAAATTAGGGTGCAGCTAGAGATGAAACCCCAGAAGAGCCCACTTAAATTTTTACAACCTATTCTTTGGAGTATTATTTCTTTTATTTGAAAGTCTTAAAAAAATTTAATTTTCATGATTTGCATATCTGACCATTATTTCTTTCCTCTAAAGTGTTTTGAGAAGGAGAAAGCCTTGAGCTCTGAGTTGAAGGCTAAGAGGGGCAAAGTCGTTCCTTTTAACATGGAGCTGAGCAAAGACATCCAAGAATGCATGTCAAACCTTGTGAATGATGCAGGAATTGAATCAAGACGACCCTTTTCCACCTATGCTGCTGCTGTATGTATCTGTCTCTAAAAATCAGAATAAAAAGTGCCTTTGAGCATTCATTCACTGTTCACTTTTTACCAAATTACTTGTCATAAATGAAAGAGGCTCACAATTTTCTTTTCATCAATCCTTTGCTAAAATAATGGATGAATGGCTTCAAGTGTATCATGAAGGAGGCTGAGTTGATGATTGAGTGGCTGAGGCAGGGGTCCCATGTTCCCTTCGAAGAGTACAACACAAGCAACGAGATTCGGCAGTGGGCCTTGGACCTTGCCATGTTCGAAGGGAATTCGAATACCCACACTGCTGCAGTCCTTCTGGTACGTGCATGCCTGCGTTTTACCAAAGAGAACTGTAGTGTAAATATGCGAATTATTTACACCTTGATTTTGATCTTTTTGTTTACATCGGCTGCAAAACCAATGATCTGAAGGGTATCACAAAGGAGGCTGGGTCTTTGCTAAAGAGTGCGAGTCTTGGTTGCTTGGTCTCCACAGACATTTCCATGAGAATCCGGACTTATGGCTTAAACTTTCTAATCCGTAAATTGGATGAATTTGAATCGGATGCTGAGCTCACACCGGGAGTTAGTGATGAGATAACTTCTGCAACTGAAATAAATCAACTTACATGGTATGTTCTCTTGTTTTCTACTGCACACACATTGATGGATATTATCTCATCTTATGTGACAAGTCAGATATGTGGCCATTCAGTAAGATGCATAGTAATGTAATTATTGATTTTCATATCTAGGGGTAACACTGACAGTGTTAGCTTTGGGAAGAATGAGGAGATGCAGGAACAATGCGTCTCAAAGAAAGTCATTGACCCGAAGGTAGGATATTTAAATAGAAAAAAGCAGCAGTGTTTCATTTTAAGTTTTACTTATCTTTCATTCATAATGGTATGCATTGATTTTTTTTACCCTTTTTCAAGCAGAACATTACCGATGAGCGGTATTCAATAATAATTCTTCGTAGGCCCAATGTTGTGGATGAGGAAGGTGATAGGCCCAATGTTGGATGAGTAAGGTGCGTATTGATATTTAGGAAGAATGTTATGTCAATAGTATTTGGTTGAAACACTTTTCTTTGTTATGTATCAGGCAGACCCTAATTCTTTCATGCTATATTCCATCACTGCAGCAGAGTAGAAGCAATGCTGAAAGCATGAGGGCGTGACCAAGACTGCTGGGCTAATGATGAAGTCCGATTGTGTTTCTGGATTGTGACTCCTTGTGGGACATGCCCTTTGTATCTGTGTTTGTTTTGCTTTACTTTTGAACAAGCTTTCGCTCACCTCCGCCTCATTGAGCCTAAAGAAACCTGCTTGGCTCACTTATGTACTGAACAACATCACCTCTCCGCAGTTTCAGATATCTGCTTTTGTGTGTGTCCACTCAGGTGTCTGTCCTGCTCGGCAGCTCGGGGAATGTGGCCGTGCGTTATACTCCCGTTTCAAATCAAATTATGTTGTCCTAATAGAAAAATATAATAAACATGTAGGATACTAAACAAATGCACTATAAAATATAATAAACATGTAGGATACTAAACAAATGCACTATAATACAATGAAACTAATGTGATGTTGTAAATGTTGATGTTTCTCTATAATCTTGATTGAAGCTAGAAAAGTTTTAGTCTAGAGCTTACACCTCGAATCCTCAGCCCTCCCGAAGTAATGAATCTTCCCCAAATATCTGTGTTTTAGCATGGATAATATAATAATATATATCAGTGTCCTTTTTATTTGTAGTAAAAACATGACTTGTAAGGGCAGTCCCAATGGTGTATTGATGATAATTTCTATCATCATTAAATGACTTGCCACGTAGGCAAAACGTTGACATGGCAACGTAATTAATGAAGAAAGAGAGCAAAAATCATAGAAATTGTTTCTTCATGTAGAAATCAGGTCTACTCTTGACCCAATGCACCAAGAAACTATGAAATCGCCATTGGGGAGAAATCACCAGTTTCTAGGGAGCTCGTGTCGCACTCCCATTGGAGAAAGAAGATAGAGTTGCGAGAGAGAAAGAGAAAATAATTATTACTCATAGAAACCGTGGGTTAAAAAACAGTACTTTTTTGGTGTGGTATCCTATGTTATAGAAACTACTAGTTTTTTTCATTGGGACTGCCCTAATATATCTTTGCCTTTTTAGCATAGTGTCTAGAATACGACATGTATTTTCAGGATAGTAAAACAGGACGTCTATAAACATATAAAAAGTTGACTAAGGTGATGAACTGTTGATTAACTCAACTAGACCACTATGCCCAGCCTTATAGAGTGTTAAGCGAATGTTTAGACCAGCTGGGGGAAAGGAAGGTTTCTACAAACTTCGCCATGAATATTCATTCAAAACAAAAAGTTCAGCATAAATATGTTTTCCACTTCTCCTGTATTTCAGGTACCTAAATTTTAAGATGATTTCAGGCAACACTCTTATACTACCAATTAGTACAAATAAATTGTCACTTCTGTTATTTGTTATTTGTTATTTGTTATTTGTCTTAATGCCATGACATATCAATTTTTTGTCCTTGTCTGACTATAGAAATAATTGTAAATTATTAAATTATCTTTGTGCCAACACATATTAGATTTTGTCAGGTTTGTAGTTTTGTTTAACATATTTTTTATTCTCGGAACAAAAAATGATAGATTGTGTCTATAAAATTGCAACGAACTAAAACTGTAATTTTAGTATAAAATATATGCAATAATTGTCGCCTACAAAACTAAAATTGAGACACCTGAAATTTGACAAATCCCTATGTTCTCCGTTTGTACAAACTTCACCATGTATAGAAATGGGGTTTCATCACATATCTCTTTGAATTGACTCTTTAACAAGCCTTCACCCATCTAGGTCGATTCCTGAAGTATCTTTTCTTGCATGGCCTATTACACCAATCTATACCTAATAATAAAGAGGTAAAATTTCTCTCCACCTATTTTTGGTCCGGCCATCCCTTACAAACTTTGTGAAAATGGAAACCCACCTATAACCCTTCTCTTTAGATAACTAGGAATCATAATCTAATTAGATATCTCCGATTTCGGGTGAATAGGAATCTTAATTCAAATAGGAAAATATAATAATATGGACAACTAGGAATCTTTTTAATCCAAACAGATCTCTCCAACTCTGAGTACCTGGAATAGGAATCTTAATTCAAATGCAAAAATATAAGAATAGAAATCTAGTAAAGAGAAAAGAAGGGTAAGAATTTCTTTGTTTAGTTTTTTTTTCTGTTCTTTTTTTTACTTTATTTTTGTTTGTCCATTTTTACTTGCTCCGAGTACGTGTTGCTTTACGTTCATTTGAACGCTTTTCACTTGGCTCCGAACATGTTTTGATTTTTTTTCCGTGCCTATTTTCTAGAGTACATTCTAATTTTTGTCATGACTGTTTTCTACTTGGCTTCGAGTATGCTCAGATTTTTTTCTTGTGGATGTTTTTGACACTAGTTCGACTTTTCTAATTTTGTTTTCATTGTTTTCTCCACCTGGTTTTTTCGTGTTCTAATAAATATAATAAGAGAAAAAACAAATAATAAATAAGAGATTACAACCATTTTAACTTTGACCCCTTAAGAAACAAAGATTTTTAACACTAAGTTAATTTAATTTTTGACTCGAACTCATGACCGTGCTACAACTCATTACGTATTGGATAGTAATGAATAATTGTGAAACAGTGACCTCTAATTTATCAATTCAGAGTGGAAGAATGGGCATGATTGTCAATAGATGTCGCTAGGAAAAAAAATAAGACCCTGATACCCGGGATTCTTGAGAATTTTTGTCACGACGTTCAGAATAACTTTATCAATTCAGAGCGTTGGCGGGATATCATCTCCATACTATGGGCTACAACATCCTCAAGGATCATGTAAATGGCAAACCTGGGCAACCAATCAAACACCGTCGGGGACTACGCGTCAGGAGATCCCCTCTCTCAAATGCTATTCATCCTCGCCGTGAAACCATTTTTCAACCGTCTCAACAATAGAATTAGATCAAAATAAGAAATAAAAGTCAATTTGTTCGAGATGAGATAAAGAAAAGAGCTTAGAGACGACACAAAAAATTTCGAAGGGTTTTTCTTTTGAAGTTTGTCAGTCAAAATTAGCCAACTTGAGCCATGAGTATAAATGAAATTCGTTTTTTATTTTCTTTAAGGAAATTAATGTAAGTCACAATCAAATTTCTATCTATTTGCATTATTATAGACAGAAATTCGAATCATTTTCTCGAGCCGTACGAGGAGGTTGGATCGGGCCACTTAGCTTGGGCACCAATCACCAATCGGCGCTGCACCGATTCGTTGCCGGACAAGTTTGTATGCTGATGACGCGGCGCTATTTGTGAGGCCAACAATCAGTGATGATGTGATCAATGTCCGCCTACTTCTCCAAGCTTTTGGTACTGCATCTGGACTGATGACCAATATATACAAAAAAATCTGAACTCTACCACACATAAGGTGTGAGTCACTGGAAATTTTGTTTTATTTTTAGTAAAAAACAGATAAAACCTCGGTAACCGATATCTTCCAGTTTCGCTTTCATCCCTAAAATAGGGAAATCATCTGAGCAGACAATGAACAACCTGACCAGGAAAGATAAATTGGAACCAAATCTGAAGAGACAATGTGAACAACCTAAGCTACCTAAAAGAACGGCGGCCTCAAGTTGATACGCACATCCACCGTGCCGCGCACCACAGCCCGTGGGTTCCCGTACTCGTCCCCGGGTGCCGGCAACTCCCAGTCTAGCAGCTTCACCACCTTGCCGAACGGCATCGTCCCTTCCAGCAGCCTTGGGTTCCCCTCCACCACCTCGTTGCGGCGCCTCTTCATCTTCTTCTCCTCCTCCTCCTCCTCATCATCCATGTCCCTGAGCACCAGCGCGTCGAGCAGCCGCACCCGTGCCCTGCTGATGACGGCGGTATGGCCCGAGGTGTGGGGTCCCCCGCGGGTCACCACCACCATGTTCGTCCTCCTTCGGAAGAGGAAGTCGGCACGCTCCACGAAGATATCTAGAGATAGGTCCGGCCAGTTCGACGCGACGGGGATCCTGATCGCCAGCCTCCACGTCTTGAAGTCATCCTTGTCAAAGTCGAACGGAAGCGTTTGACAGGCGACTACCTCGTCGGCGATGGCCACGTAGATGGTGCAGGTCCGTGGCCACGCCGGACCAGCGAAGCCGCTCATCCTCGGCCCGGTGAGGCTGACCTCCAGAAAGCCCACGGTTTGAGGGACCTGGTCTTGCTTCACCCCAGCCATGTCGTGACTCGTAGCTAGCTAGGTCGGCGCCTCCGCGTCTCGCGTTGATGGCACCTCCTCCGCCTGCTGCTCGGATCTGTTTTTTATTTTTTCCAGATATATGTTTTTCTTTTAAAGGAAGCAAGCAGTAGCCGGGGACGCGGTTAACAAGTTTGTTTTTATTTTTCTCCAATATCTTTTTTTTTCAACAAACCTATCTACAAACAAAATCAAATGTCCAGGTCTATCACGAGCAGGGGCGGATCCACGAAGGGGCTCGCGGGGCTGCAGCCCCGGTTGTGGGCCGAATTCCAAAGGGGCAAGTCTTCAGCCCAGCATCCCAAAATCCACATCAACCCTGGTGCCAGCCCCAGCCTTGCCCAGGACGGAGCAGCCGCGGCCGCGCCTGCACCGCACCCGCGACTCGCGAGTCGCGACCGTGCGTGGCTCGTCCGTGCCCTCCAATCGCGACCACGCCGGCGCGCCGTCCACCTGAACTCGCGTCGTCCGGCCTCCGCCCTTCGCGGCTCCGCGTCCGGCGTCCGGCGTCCAGTGCAGCAGTCCCCCCTCCGCCCTCCGCCGCTCCCCCTCTGGCGCCTGCGCCAGGCCGCCAGGCCATCCCTTGCCGGCTGCTGGCCGTCGCCGTCCAGGAGCCCCGCTATCCAGGACTGCTGCCGGGTGCGGGCCTCTGGATCCGCCACTTAGTTAGCCTCCAACCTGCTCAGCTGCTCCTGCTAGTTGGTGGCCTGCTTGGCTGGTGTTTGCTGGCTCGCTGCACAGTCAGGGCAAAGGCACAAAGGCACGTAGGTAGGCCCTGGTTTGAACTTATCAAATCGTTTTTTCTCACTCAGCATATCAGATTCAGCCGGTTTATTATCAGTCGCAGTGTTAGATAGTCATTGTGAGTAAACGAATACCAATTTCTGGGTTTTCATTTCATCATTTGTTTGTTTGATGAATGACAATGTCTAGCTTGTAATAAGCACTGCAGTTTGCAATATTTGATGTCGTTGAAAAATCCTATGAATATCATTAAGTCTGAATGGAGAAATTAAATCAAATAATCAATTTCTGGTTAAAGCCTTCTAGTAAAAAAAATCATAGCCATGCAATTGAGATTTCTAGCCTTTTAAACGGTGTATGTCTACTAAAATTTCTAGCTTGTTTTTTTTTTTTTTTTTTTACTTTACTTTGGGTGGCACATCCGTTTCAATATGAACCTCCTACGTTCTCGGCTGAGATGAGTGAGCTCGAGAGCCCCTCGGCCCCGCATGCGGCCTCCCCGACCCCGGCGTCCACCCCCGCCCAAGTGCCAGCGCCGTTGGCCATCCCGGCCACGTCACCCACCAGAAGCCTGTCGTCCGCCCAGAGAGTCGCTCCTAGGCTGATGAAGTCGAAGCTGAGGACGAGCTCCGTGGGGGGCTCGCTGGGAACCCGTCTCCACCGCTACCCCGGCCAACCTCCAAGCAGCTCCGCCACCCACCACCTCCACCAGCCAACGTTGGCGACAAGGTCAAGTGGCATGCCAGACGACGCCTTCCTTCTCCGACGACGCCACAGGTAAGTACGTCTACCCAAGCGCTTAGACCGGGTGTTCGTTTTCAAGATCAGCTTCTTCTCGATTTCCATCTTACTTCTGCCCCCCACTTCCTCGGTGTTCTCTTTCCTCTCTGACGACCTTGTGGGTCACCCCCGCGTTGCCGGTCCTCCTCTCTTGCTGACGGCGCCGCCGGTGTGGCTTTCGGTCTCTCACTTAACGGCCTTCATCTTCGCCGTCGAGGTTGCCAGCTCCGACGTCGCAACAGTCATTTTCCTCAACGGCAGCGTGGGTAAGGACAAATTCAAACTTTCCCCCACTTAACTTTTAAAAGCGCGGTTTCTGAGGCAGATAAGTTGAGCGCGAGTCGGGACTTTACCTCCTCTGCCAACGCCACTTCCGCCTCAAATGTTCCCTCACTATCCCCCGCTGCGGCACGCGGCTCCGCGCCAGACCCGCCACTGGCATCCAGCTAGGGAGTCAGTCGAGCAAATCGGGCAGAAGATCTGCCTATTTACTTGGGCCTTGTTTACATCGTAAGTTTTTTCACTCTCTTTCTATCACATCAAATCTTTGGACACATGCATGGAGTATTAAATGTAGATAAAAAAATAACTAATTACACAGTTTGATTGTAAATTACGAGACGAATCTTTTGAGCCTAGTTAGGCCATGATTGGATAATAATTGTCAAATACAAACGAAAGTGCTACAGTGCCAAATACTGATTCATAGCCCCAATCTAAACGAGGTCTCATTCTCTCCACGGCGGCCAACCCTTCTCTTCTGCCTCTGCTTCCCCTTCCCCAGCTCGACACGTTGCAACTCAAGGACGCCGACGACATGACCGACTCTGCCCTCGAGCCCAACGCTGCCATTACTCGTCTTGGCCGGTCATTCAAGGAAGCTCTCCTCTCCCCTGGCCACTTCCCTCTACAAAAGCCGGCACCCCCAGGTTTCGCAAACCATCTATCACCTACTTTCGCTGCTTAGCCTCCGATCACTTAGCTCGCGATTGCCGTGACCCCATCCGGTGCCATCGTTGTGGTCGCTCAGGCCACATGGAGAGGAGCTGCAAGGTCTCGCCACGCCAGCCCACCCCTTGGCGTCACCGCCCCTCACCACCACCTTCCCCTCCGCCTCGCCCTTCTGCCTTTCGCCTTGTTCGCCCCTTCCCTTCATCCACCTCCACCACACCACTTGTCCCCAACCTGACCACCCCCTCGCCTCCTCTCCCTCCGGCTCGGGCACCACCCTTGGCTACGCCAACTTAGGTGCCGGACATTAACCACATCCTTGAGGTTCATTGCTCTGGCTCCTTGATGCGGCCGGTTAGGACCGTTGACCTCTACGTTCCCTCCATCGACTGCTCTCCACCTATTGCCTACGTGGCCCGTGGGGCGCCCCCCACGTCTGCTCCTGCCCCAGGGCGTGCCATTGCTTGTGCCCCAGCCATCCCTGCTAGGTACGAGTACGAGGACTACTCTGGTGGCTCGGGGGATGACGGTGCCTCTGAGGAGGAGGTGGACTCCGATGGATCCCCGTTCCACGCGGACTCCCCAGATCCGCTGGCCGGGGGCGATGACGACATCACCTGCATGCTGCCAGGGGACATGGAGTGTGTGGGCCGGATCGCCTATGCCTACATCAACATCGATGGGCCCCCCGACAACCCTGCCCCCTTCATCCGTGCTGCCCTATTCTCGGTGGCACCCACGGTCCACTTCACGTCGCACGGCTCCTTGCGGGGCAACATGATGCTGTGCTTCGACTCCCGTGGTGACCGCGATGCGGTGACGGGCCTCACCCCCATCACTCACGATGGCGCTCGCCTCACCTTGGAGCGCGCGGAGGAGACATCCAACCGCTTCACCATCGTGCAGAATGGCTCGTGGTGGTCTCGGCAGTCGACTTCCCAGAGGAGCACTAGGACCTAGAGGGGATCCCGGCCAGCTTTTGCAAGCTGGGTACCGTCATCGACATTGACCCAGCTTGCCTCGACGATGACCACTCGGTGCTCCGGGTTGTGATGGCCAGGCGCACCACGACTGGGATCTAGAACGACCTATACATCGGGAACCTAGGTTGGGGTGCTCGGGGTGAGTCGCTGGGATCGGCCTTCACCATTGAGGTGTTGCGGATTTGGCCGAGGAAGGAGCAGCTCGATGAGCTGGGGAACCTCTGCCCCCCTTTTCCCGCGTCCACCTGGTGGCGCGAACGGCGGTGGCAACGCCCACCCCGGGCCTCAAGGGCCTGTCCCTCCTTTTGGGCCGGTACTCCACGGGGCGGTGGTGGACCAGCCAGGCTAGGCCTTCGACGGCCTTGGGCCTTTCCTAGGCCTCGGTGGTTACTTTCTCCGGTTCGTAAGCCGCTTCCCTCTCCCGCCACTCCCACGCCTCCCCATCATCATTTTGTTCCCCGCTTCTTTTCAAACTGACGCTCCTCATCCTGCTTTCAATAGCCGCCCGCTCCTTGCTCTACTGTGGTATGACGACGACGACAACCAGCTCCCGGCACCGCCACCGCCAACTCCGGTTGGTAGCCCGGCACACCCTGATGGCAGCCCGGCATGCCCGGTTGTAGGCAAGGCCCCGAGGGGGCACCACTCTGGACAGGCGGCTCCACAGCGCAGCAGCGTCCGCCTCGCCGAGAAGGAGTCCACGGTGTTCATCCCTGTTGCAGCCAAGGCCATTTAGCGCAAGGCTCTACGCGAGAGCTTGGCGGCCTGCTCTGGGTCCCTCAAGAAGCAAGTGACAGGATGCAAGCTGCTCAAGAGGAAGAACCCCATCGGGGCACTTGACCTTGGGCACCTTGCCATGGCTGCTGGCCTCTCCTACATCGGTCGCCAGTCAGTGGCAGCCGCGGTGTTGGGCACTGCTGCGGCTCCATGAGGGATCCTTGCCTTCATTCTCTTAGGCCCAAGTCCTGCGTTTGTGCCTGGGTTAGCTATTTAGCTCTGCGCTCCTTTAGTCTCTCAACGTCACTGGCAGCGACCTGCCTGTCCGCGTGCAGGACGTTTTCCCCACCCTCTCCGGCTGCGTCCATGAAGGTAGGTTGCTGTAGTGACTCCACCATTTTATGTTTCTGTGCTTTTCTGCCTTGTTCCCCGACTCCACCTGGTGTAATCTTAGATTAATGAATCAAGAGCGCTTTAACTATACTCTGTTGTCCTAGAACATCCGTGACCTTGGCCTTTCTGAAAAATGCGACGCGGTGCGCGACACTTTCTCCGTCTCTCATCCTCACATTGTGTGTATTCAGGAATCCAAACTACACACAATTGACTCGACCAAGAGCAAAGCCTTCCTCTCAGCATACCTGAGCACCTTCGCTTACTCTCCGACCGATGGCTCCCGCGGTGGCATCGTCACGGCCAGGAATCCGGATTTGGTCTCGACAGAGGAGATTTCCCAGACCGACCACTGCCTCACCGTCTCATTCACTTCGACCTCACCTAGCTATAATTTCACCGTTACGAACGTCT